TATCAACTGCTGATTTGACAATGCTTGACTCAAAATTCAACTACTTTAGAAAAGCCAACTGTCCCTCAAACTATAATTTTTGAATCAATATCCTGATCACACCTTATTTTACTGAAATATTATTTCAAAGTTTCTATTTAACTTCTATTTCGGCCTTGGAATTTTAAGTTGGGTGTCAAAGTGATCAGGATTACTAAGGCATTACTAAATATTCCTCTGGAAACTTTGAGACTTTTACGATAATTATTTCTTCACTGGCTTAAAAATCATTTCTTTGTGTAAGAAGTAGATTTATAGCATGACTTGAATATAGCTACAATGGAGATTTGATTCATGACTCACCAACAGAACCTAATACACCAATAAATACAACACAAGCAGCATTACTCTGCTTCCCTAGAAAGATTTCTAATATGCCTAGTTGTCACACCCACTAACATCTCATCAAATTTGACCCAGAAGTCTAATGAAAAGGAACACCACTTTCTCTAGTCACAGCATGAGCAAGACATTTCTTCCCTGTCACTAGTGGTTAAACTAAAAGAATTCCTTTAAGGAGTATATCTTAAAGTACAATAATTATTTTGTGAATTTTTTAACAACTTCAAGTAATTCTTTTTGGTGGATTGGAGGGTGGGATTGGGTCGCACCAGGTTGTGCTTAGGAATTACTTCTGGAAGGAGCTCAGGGTTGCAGATATTTAACCTGGGTCAGTCTAATGCTAGGTCTTACCCACTCTACTATCTCTCCAGCCTCGACTTTCTGTAATATCTGTTTGGCTTCCTCCACTTCTTCAACATGTTAAAAGGTGACATTTTTCATCTGGACAAAATAAACTGACAGTATCAAACCCTACTGTTGCCTGTCAGTGTACAGATTAAAAAATATTTTTAAGAGTTCATATAGACAAAGTAACAGGAAGAGAGAGAGAGAGAAATAGAGAGAGAGAAAGAATAATTTGAGTTTGCCTTGGTAATCACTGGTATTTTTGGTGTTAAGTGTTTATGTTTTCAGGAAACCTGCAAAAACCAGTCTTAAAAGCATCTTGGTGAGCTTCAGGTATATTTTGATTTTCAGAGTCTATCCAAACTCTCAACATCTGATCCTTTATTCCACAAAAAAAATCTGGTCCAAATTATGGTGCTATGTGCTGTGCTTTGACTTACTTTTTCAGAGTTGGGAATATAGATTTTGTATCTTTAATTTCTGATAAGTTTGATAACTCTAAAACTATAAAAACTGGTCAGTACTGAAGATCTGACCAAATGTTTTTTAGAGTCTTGAGTGCTGTCTGTTCAAGCAAGAGGAACCATTGTAATAATATGTAACCTATGTAATCATATTTATTTCCAAAGAATAGATGTGCAGAGACATGTGATGTATGTCAATTGTCTTTACAAAACTCAGGAAGTAGATTGTCCATCAGTTGGTCAATTTGTCAATTTCTAATTCAGATTGTCTAAGATCTAGACTCCCTGCTGGAAGTCTTATGCTCTGGAATGGCATCATGATTCTGGTTTTGAGAAACAAATGCACTGATAGAAAAAAGATGCTTTGGGTAGGTTGTGAATGGAACTGAGGAGATGAATCAGAACAACTGTAACCTGGGGTGCCAGGACTTCCCTGGAATATCATCTTCAAGCTTTCATCAATATCTCCTGCCTGCCTAACTGGCTTTTTGTTACGGCCAGCTAGGATGTGCTGCGTCCTTTTTCACTCCATCTTTTTCTCCATTCCCTTGACCCTCACTCTTCCTAGAAATTGAAAATTGCTTCCCTTTCCCATAGCTTCCAAAACAACAGACATCTTCCCAAAAAGCAAAGTATTTCTGGGGCTGGTCATCTCTGGGACAGGCAGGTATCAGCACTATCTCTTTGGCCTGGCGTGCATAGCTGGGTTGCTGAGATTCATTGGTCCCCAAAGTAGTTGATATTCTTATCCAAGAATAAACATTCTTGATACCAAAAGTTCTCTAGATTTAGATTTCCCTAAATATTTCCATGTACTTTATAGGGCAAAGGGTAATTTTATAGGATACTAATTAAATATTTTGAGATGAAAAGATCATCCTGTATTATCTTACTAGATCCATCTAATCACTCATATCCTTTTAAGATAGACATAAGTGACTAGAAAAAGAGATAGAAGATGTGATGGACAAGAGAAATAAGTTGAGTTTTGTGAGAAAGGGGACAAAGTGTAGGTGTGACTTCTAAAATCTAACTAAAGCAAATAAAGTTTCTTTCCTGGAATCTCTCATAGATATGCACCCCTGCCAATACCTTAAATTTGATCTGACTTTAGCAACTACAAAAATAAATTAATCCTGTGTTGATTCACTAAAATTGTGGCAATTTGTTTTCAGTGGCACTAAAAACCAATACAAATACTTTCCATAGATCTTTGAGGTTTGCCCTATGCAGCAGTCTCCTCTAAATTACTCTGCTCGGTGAACCCTAACTCTTTCTATCTCAGCAGCATTCTCTCTTCAATTCAGGGACTCTGACTTTTCTACCTGTCCAATGTCAAAGCAATAAACTAGAGCAATCATAGAACTCATATCATTTACTTCCCATATCTCAGTGATCACTGTCCTTTATTGTCTGTTGTTCAGTTTCTTTCTGGCCATCATATTATCATATATATACTTTTTGGTTATTTTAGTCAAGAAAATAAATCTGGTTCGTGTATCTTGGTCAATGGTATATATGGCAAATATGTGAATTTATATTTTCACATAAAAAAACTAAATTAAAAAAGGTGAAATAATTTCAGGAATATGTATTGTTGCCTCACTATACAGAAAGTATTATTATATCAGTGTATTTATTATAAAATTATATAATTTTGGTTACAAAGTTTAACTTTTAAACTTACAACACATCTTACCTCATACTGATTGGATACAGAGAATTATTAGAGTTGTTTTTTGTTTGTTCTGTGCTTTTTAATAATTATTTTTATTTTTATTAGGTCAGGTAGTTGTAATAGTGTTAAAGTTTATAGTATCAATAGACAGGATTACTTCCCCTCAACACCACCAAGATGGTCATGACCATCTACCACTGTCCCTACAACTTTACTAGTCTGATTTTCTTCCAGCCATCCCCAAAACTCTTCTACCCACACTGTTTTCCAATTTCTTTCATAATATAAGTCTAACAATGACTTATTATGATTGAGTACTGTTTTTACTCTCTATATTCTGCTGATAAAAGACAAAATCCAGTATTTGTGCTTCCTCTGACTTATTAAGTGATATTCTCCAGTTCCATCTGCTGTCACTGTCACTGTCACTGTCACTGTCCTCCTTGTTCATCGATTTGCTTGAGCGGGCCCAGTAACAATGCGAGACTTGTTGTTACTGTGTTTGGCATATTGAATACATCACGAGTAGCTTGCCAGGCTTTGCCATGGGGGCAAGATACTCGGCAGATTGCCAGGCTCTCCAAGAGGGGCAGAGGAATTGAACTCGGGTCAGCCCAAGCAAATTGCATGATTTCATCTTGCCTCTGAATGGTATTCCATTGTGTATATGTACCACAGCTTCTTGATCCATGCATCCACAGTTGAACATTTGTTTCCATATCCTATTGTACTGTGTTCTACTGTGTGTACATATATCTGTTTGAAATTATGCTTTTGTGTTTGATAAAGGAAGTGGAATTGTAGGGTTGTATGGAATTTCTTTTGTTTGGGTTTTGGACCGAATTTGGCAGTGCCCAGGATTACTCCTGGCACTGTGCTTAGGGAGTCCCTCCTGGTGAAGTTTAGGGAACCATAGGCAGTGCCAGGGATACCAACCCAGGCTGGTCAAATACAAGGCAAATGTAATACCCACTGAAGTATTTATCTGGCCTTAATTTTACTTTTCTGGAGAAATTGCCATACTTATTTTTTAGAGACTGAATCAGATGACATTTCCATGAACAGTGAATGAAAAATCCTTTCTTATCATATCTCCAATACTGGTTGTTTCTAATCTTTTGGATATATGAGATAATATCTCATTGGGTTGGGCTCGAGCGATAGCACAGTGGTAGGGCGTTTGCCTTACAAGCAGCCAACATGGCCCACCCAAGTTCGATTCCTCCGCCCCTCTCGGAGAGCCCGCCAAGCTATCGAGAGTATCTCGCCTACACAGCAGAGCCTGGCAAGCTACCCATGACGTATTCGACATGCCAAACACAGTAACAACAAGTCTCATGATGGAGACGTTACTGGGCCCGCTCGAGCAAATCGATGAACAACCGGAGGACCGTGACTGTGATCTCACTGGGGTTTCTTCAGTAAAATAATAATTAGGCAAAGGCATGTTCCCTGACCCCACCTTCATTTGAAGACTTTGTAGGCCAGATGAAACATGGGAAATTTAAGAAATTGCTTGATGAAACCAGTGTCCTTTCTCCACATTGATTGATCAGCACACCCCTGACTTAAGGTCTCTCTTCCTGAATAAGTATCCAGCCATTATCCCTGAGCACTGACTGACTAGACTACTGTCTATTATTATGATTCATCTTTCTATGTAAATGACTGTGTTACTGTCCTATATAGTCTTATTTCAATATTAAATATCTTTGGCTTGCTAAACTGAAACTAAAGCAAGTGTCCAAGATGAGTTGTTTGGGACCTAATTTGATTGAGACTAAGAGAGCATGGTAATTAGGAACATTTCCAAAGGAGAGTCACAATTAAAATCCTAATTGATGTTGGATGGCAGGAGAAATATTATAGTGATAAAGCTCTTGCCTTTTTGTGACCTACTCCCATTCAACCCCCAGTAATATATGTGATGCCCTAAGTATTGTCAGAAGTGACTCCTGAGCATTGAGCCAGGAATAGCCTGTGGGCACTGTTGAGTGTAGATTCCTCACTGCCACCCTCCAGATAAAATAAATGCTGAAATTCCTGAATGTTAAACAAGTGAAGCCTCTGATGTCTGGCACTATCTTGCAGAGCCAAGTTATTCTCTTTCTCTTATTTCCTCTACGTTTTAGGTCAAGAATATACCATCATGGGTATGAGTAGCTTGAAATTACTGAAGTATGTACTGTTTTTCTTCAATTTGCTTTTTTGGGTAAGTGTTATTTCTTCTGAATATGGGTGAGTTTACTTTTCGACTATGCTCTACTTCTCTCTACTGAAAGTTCTGATGTGGAGTACAACTCATGTGTACTTGGATTATGTCTAGCATATCCAACCTCATAATAAGGAAATAACTTCCTTCTCTTATCCACCATGGTCCGCAAAATGAAAGTCACATGTGTCATTACTTATGGAGATGCTGTTTCTCTCTGGGGGATTTGGGCTAGTTATTGCTCATGAATGAAAAACCTGACTTTACATTCTACAGATTGAATGACTCTTGTACCCCACACTCTCCACCCTATAAAGGGGAATAGTTGCATGAAAGGCAGGGCAGTTACCTTTTCTGGTGATAATTCACTACATCAAAATCAACAATTGGATTTCAGGAGTAGAATGGTTTGATAGTCAACACGATCACGACTATCCTGTTATTCGTCGATTGCCTTGAGCAGGCCCCAGTAACGTCTCCTTGGTCCTAGCCCTGAGATTTTTTAAAAAGTGCCATATTCAAGGCTTTTTCAGAGTTAGGAGAATGAGACCCATCATTGTTACTGGTATTTGGCATATTGGGTACGCCACGGGGAGTTTGCCAGACTATGCCATGTGGGCAGGTTACATTCGGTAGCCTGCCAGTTTGTCCAAAGTAGGAATGAGATAATAAGATGTCAGCTTCTGGGAGCTGGGTTTTATAGTCCCTGAGTCTTGGCCGCCGATGGGATTACACGGCGCCAGGGGGCCAGTTGTTGGGTGTGACCCCTGCCTACTGGAATTTGGAGGATCTGGGTGGAGGATGCTCAGCCCCGATCCGAGCAGGCTTGGAGATCTCAGCCCCGGGACCTGCATGCCTTTGTTCCTCTGCCGGTACCTTCATGTGTGTGGAGAGTGGTCTCAGCATGGTGGTGGCTGGTTCTGGAGGTCTTTGGCTGCCGGAGCCCTGGTCGGGGTGGGGAGGGAAATTCAACCTGCTCCCCTCCAAGGGGCCCCGGCGAGGACAGCCAGGTGCGGGGGCAGGAGACTCTGCGTTGTTCTCTTCGGGGAGCTGGGTTTTATAGTCTCTTTTTTGATAGTCATATGTGTAGAATATTCTTAAAAGTTTAACAAAATGAATTTCTTCAAAAAGGACATATCTTCTAAGGGCCAGAGAAATACTACAGAGATTAAGCTGACTTCCTTGCATGTAATTAATTAATCCTGGTTCAATCCCCAGGACCACACAATGGTACCCTGAGCACTGCCTAGGATTGCCCCAAACCTAAATAAATAATATCTCTTTAACGTGGTTGTGATTTCCAAAGGCAAAACTATGTGTAAGCAGTTGTAGGGAATTTGAAGCAGGAAGATACTATGCTATCAGCAGGCATAAGTTCCTCCTGGAATCTGTGTTGTTGTTTGTTTTGTGGCCACTACTCCAAGATCTGTGCTCAAAGGTTCCTTAGGGGATCATGAAAAATTAATCACTGAACCCAGGCTTCTTGCATGCAAAGATGTGCTCAGTCATTCATTTTTTATTTTGTCCTTATTTTGGTTCATACTCAGTGATGCTCAGAAATAATTCCTGACTCTGCTTTCAGGAATTAGTCCTGATAGTGCTCAGGAGATCATATAGGATCATATAGGGATCAAATCTGGGTCTGCTTCATGCAAGGCAAATGCCCTACACACTGTACTATCACTCTGGGCATTCTGCCAGTTCTTTGTGCCATTCCTCTGATCTTTCACTTGGTACCTGATATGGGAAGGATAAAGAGTGAGTGGACCATCACAGGGCCATCATCCCTTTTTCGGAGGGGAATCTGGATAGAGAGATTGTGTAGGAAAGCCTATATAGAGCAAATGGAAGAAGATAATTGATTTCAAGTAAGTGAGAAATTAAGGAGTTATTAAAGAATCACATCTTTACTAAAAATATTATGGAATTCTTCATTTCAGTTCTGTGGATGCTGCATTTTGGGCTTTGGGATTTACTTTCTGGTCCACAACAGCTTCGGAGTGCTCTTCCATAAACTCCCTTTCCTCACGCTGGGCAATGTGCTCATCATTGTGGGCTCCATTATTATGGTGGTTGCCTTCCTTGGCTGCATGGGCTCCATCAAAGAGAACAAGTGCCTGCTTATGTCGGTGAGTCCCTAGATGCACATGTAATGCCCTAACCAGGGTTACACAATGTCGTAAGTTATAGGTATGATGTTTCTATACTATGGTTCAGGGAAAACATAGAACTATAGGATTGATAAATCAAGTCTGACCAATAGTATTTTGCTTTTGATTAGAATTGTAGGATAATTAGAAGTGAGCATCATCCTTCTTTGCATTCGTTTTTACACTGCTAATAAGGGCTTTTGTCATCATAATTTCCATTTGTAGCATTTAATTCTTCTTTGTGTATGCTTGAAATAAAATATCACCCCTTTAAATTCTCACATTAGTATGAATTTTAAGGATGTGACTTAGTGTTACGAGCATAGAAAATTTAATCTCTAAATTCTTTGGATTACTATGACCTTCCATAAATTTTCTAAGATGCTTCCCTGTCATATATGTGCATAAGAATTGTTTAGTTTGCTGCCCTTTTTATAAATTATTTTAATAGATTAATACAAATTGCTTTATTGATTTGGCAGATCAATATGCAGCTATATAACATTCAATACACTACATGATGTTCAAGAGGCAAATGAAAGATAAAACAATGTAGATAGAAGATAGAAGATAGCTGACGTGTCCTCTAGAGACTTGGAATTAAGTTGTAGAAATAGAATACATAGTAAAAGAAGACCCAAGAAGACAGGAACAGGAACCTGTGCATATGTGGAAAGAAATGTCTGAATCTTTTTAGAGTGGAGTGGCAGTGGGGAAGAACTGAAATTAATGCTGTTTTCATCTCTCTGATATCACTTAGTTTTTTGTCCTGCTGTTGATTATCCTCCTTGCTGAGGTGACCTTGGCTATCCTGCTCTTCCTGTATGAACAGAAGGTAAGTCAGAAGAATGCAACTCATTTTTATATGACTGAGAGAGTAGAGTGTTCTGTGAAGAAAACCTATAATAAATGTAAAAGCTACATGGAAGAATGAAGCCAAAAGAGGTTTGTTATCATTTGGAAGAGGGGGAAAAACATTTAATACATGTTTTTTATAAAATAAATAAAAAATATTTTATCTGATGACTCTGAAAAAATGCACAGGAAGTATAAGAAATTCTTTCTCCTTCTCGATTCTTCCAGGTATTTTGCAGTAGGCAATATTTGCTCAGCATCTAAAGAGAGGCTACACTCTATTGTCCTTTTACTTCTCAGAATTGCAGAGGAGAAAGAATACTGTGTAATTCTTGAATGCTGTCTCACCCTTAGCACTTTTTAAAATATACAAAATCCCTTTCTCACTTCTTTTAGTTCTAAGGAGTTCAATAAAACCTCTAGTCTATAATAAAAACTCAATATTCTATTCACATACTTTTTATAATGTTGACTTTTCTGCATTGTGCCTTGTCTAGCTGAACAGATATGTGGCTGAGGGCCTGGCTGACAGTATGAAACGTTACCAGTCGGACAATAGCACTAGGGCAGCGTGGGATTCCATTCAGTCATATGTGAGTACAGATGTTAATATTACTCATCTCATCCCAAACTTCATTTCCAACATCAGTTCCAAGGGTCTAGAAGAGATTTCGTTTCCTGGGATCGAATGCCCAGAGCCAGGTAATAATGACTCTGGCTATCATAAACAGAAGGGTACAATACATATGATTAGTATAAATTCTATACATTCTTTACTTCCTGTCCACAACTCAATAAGACTTATTGTTTAAACACTACTAAGAAGTAAAGAAGAACAAATACATCATACTGAATTTTTTTACCCCAAAAATTTCCAGGGAAAGTTTGAGCCACTTTAGTGGTGTTCAGGGTCAACCCCTAATGATGCTCAGGGTACCACATGTACCCTAGATATTGAACTAGGGTAAGGCCAAAGTATCCACATAACAAGGGTAATGCCTTGCCTCCAGTACTATCTCTCTGGTCTCTATTTTCCAAATTTTTTTTCTTCCAAAGGGCTGGAGCTATAGCACAACAGGTAAGGCATTTGCCTTGCACGCGGCCGGCATGGCTGGCCTGGGTTCGATTCCTCCTCCCCTCTCAGATAGCGTGGCAAGCTACTGAGAGTATCTCGCCTGCACGACAAAGCCTGGCAAACTTCCAGTGATGTATTCAATATGCCAAAAACAATAACAACAATTTGTTGTGAGATGTTACTGGGCGTGCTCGAGCAAATCGATGAACAACGGGAGGACAGTGCTACAGTGCAGTGCTACTTCTCTTCCAAAAAAGAGAAATTATAAATGAAACTTAAAAGTTTGTAAGTATGCTAAATAAAGCTTATTAGACTACCAGTACCCCATTATTTATGCCTCACAGAAAACCTATATATTAACTCTTATTCATATTTCTGTGTATTGATAAAGAAAAATAATGAGATTACTCTGGCACAGACATAGTGTGAGTTTTGAATAATACAGCTATGCATCCAATTTCTCCCTTGTCCAAGTGTGGAGTACAAGAAATGGAATAAGAATTAGAAATAGAAAGAACAGGATTTGATGGCCATGAAAGTTACTAAAGCTCTCGGTATTCCCAACCCTTTATTTAAAAAAAAAAATCAGTCTGAATCCTTTTCGTTATAGAATTTTCAGACATATAGAGAAGCAAGGACAATATTAAAAAATAAATTTCCAGGTCTATATTACCCAGTTTCAACAGTTATCATTTTATTTTTCAATTGTATCTAAACTAATCCCATAGAATATTCTGGGGCTGAAGAAAGAGCTTAGTGGACTGAGCCTATGCTTTGCATGCATAAGAGTTAGGTTTGATTCTAGCACTGCATATGGTTCCCTGAGCACCTCTAAGAGTGAACCTGAGTACTAAGCTGAAAATGGTTCCCAAGAAACACTGTGTGGACTGAAAAAAATAAAAACAATACTTTAATAATATTTTTACATGGGTCACATTCAGTGGAACTTGGGAGGCCTAAGAGCACTCTTGGAGATGTTTATCCAGATGGTGCTGGTCTGATGACTCAGGACTTGGTCTAGTTGTTCTCAGGAGTCGCCAGGGTTTCGCTGGCGGTGTTAAGGGGCCATGCAGAGCAAGTAACTGAATTTCGGGACTCACAAAAACTAATCATATTCTACAATTTGAACCCTACAATATTTTTAAAGCAAATGCTAGAAATTATGCTATTTGGTCCATTTGTTTCTTCTTTTGCTTAGAGAAACTTTAGGTTTACAAAAGAAATGAAAAGGAAGTATAGAGATTATTCATGCATTGTCTTCATTATTGCCAATATCACTCACCAGGATTCTGAGGAGATGAGAATATAATAATTTTAAGCAAGGATATGCCTACATTGACAAGTTATAATCACCCAAGTCAACCACAGTTTATTCTAGGTTTAACTAAATAAATGGAGATATATTTGATGCTCATTGGTAGAAATACTCGATAATGTCAAGATATTAGTTCTTTCAAACTTATCTATATATTCAATACAAAATCATTGAAGGTTTAGTAAATTATTGCATGAATATTGACCAATTCTGAAGTTTACCTGCAGAGCAAAAACCCAGAAGTCAACATACTATTTGGGGGGAAAAAGTTTTAGATTCTATGCTATTCAATTTTAAGACTTCTTATATACTCACAATAATCGAGACTGTTTGGCATTTGAAAAGGAGAAAAATCGATCAATAGAACAAAATAGAGATACCAGAAGCAGGCCCACATAAACACAATCAACTGAAATTTTACAAAGGGACAAAGGCTATCTGAAATGAATAAAACAGTCCCTTCAACAAACTGTGCTGGGACAACTGAATATTCATATGCCAAAAACATCTGTAGTCATGGATCTCATAACCTTCAAAAAATAAACATCAACTGGTTCACATGCTAAATGTTAAACACAAAATTTCCTAGATAATCAAATAGAAGGAAAATATGAGGATATAGTGATGTCTTTTTAGGTGAAAGTGGGAGTGTTCAGGGTACATGTCCATAGATAGTGATGCTTTTTAATAGCAACACAAAAGGCATGATTTATGGAGGAAAAAACTGCAAAACTGAACTGAAGATTTCATTTTTTGATGAGACTAACCCAGCTGATATTAAAATGAATCACTTCTGTTCTATGAAAGACAGCATCAAGACAATTAGAAGAGGACCTGCAGTGATAGTACAGTAGGAGGGCATTTGTCTTGCATGTGGCTGACCCGGGTTCGATTCCCAGCATTCCATATGGTCCTTGAACACCACCAGGAGTAATTCCTCGGTGCAAAGTCAGGAGTAGCCCCTGTGCATCATTGGGTGTGACCTAGAGTCCCCCCAAAAAGAAAACTAGAAGAAAGGTAATATTATCTAATGTTTTATGTGAAACATAACATAAAGTTTGATGTAAATTAGAATTATTCTACTTTCTGTAGGGCATTTGCCTTGCACTTAGCCAACCCGGATTCGATTCCTCTCTCTCTCTCTCGAAGAGCCTGGCAAGCTACTGAGAGTATCCTGTCCACACGGCAGAGCCTAGCAAGTTCCCCGTGGCATATTTGTTATGCCAAAAACAGTAACGACAAGTCTCACAATGGTTACTAGTGCCTGGTGTTACTGGTGCCTGCTCAAGCAAATTGATGGACAATGGGAGGACAGTGACAGTGCTATTATCTTAAGTGTTTAGGGGGCCTAGTTAATTCAATCTGATCATCCCTCTATTATATAATTCCCTAGATGTGTAATTTTTAATCTGTAGAATATTAATAAATCAAACATGCCCTTTCTACTGTACATATTCTTCTGTGAATTAAATGATATGCTAGTGATAGAGAAGGGAACACCAAATAAAGGGTGTTGGGAGGATCCTCCCAGGATGGGAGAAGCATGCTGAAAGTAGACTATAGACCAAACATGATTGTCACTCAATGCCTCTTTTGCAAACCACAACACCCAGTAAGAGAGAGAGAACAAAAGGGAATGCCCTGCCACAGAGGCAGGATGGGGGGTGGGAAGGATACTGGGATCCGTGGTGGTGGGAAATGGGCACTGGTGGAGGGATGGGTATTTGATCATTGTATAATTGAAACCCAAGCACAAAAATTTGTAAGTCTACAACTGTACCTCATGGTGTCTCACTAATAAAAATTAAAATAAATAAATAAATAAAGTGCTTTGTTACAGGGAACTCTTATACTTAAGTCAATTTATTTTTTGCAATAAAATTAGATCTAAATGGATCACCTATTCCTCTAAGGTCTGTAGTTTCCTTTCTGTTGACTCTCTAATGATGACTTTTTGTTGAACTTTTAGCTGCAGTGTTGCGGTATAAATGGCACAAATGATTGGCTCGAAGGTCCACCATCATCTTGCCCCTCAGACCCACAAGTAAAGGTAATTTTTGAGAAACATTTCTATTATTGGCCTATTTGGTTAGTTTTGAATTACCTTAAAATTAAGACCTTTCTCTATCTTCTTTGCTCGGATTGGGAGATGTGAGCTGAATATATCTAATACCAAGCTTAATTCTCTTGGCATCATGATCACGATCACGATCATCCTGTTGTTCATCAATTTCCTCAAGCAGGCACCAGTAACGTCTCCTTCTTCCTAGCCCTGAGATTTTAAAAGAGCCATTTCAATGCTCTTTCAGGATTAGGAGAATGAGACCCACCATTGTTACTGGTATTTGGCATATTGAGTACGACACGGGAAGTTTGCCAGACTCTGCCATGCGGGCAGGATACTTTTGGTAGTCTGCCAGGTTCTCCAAGATTTACATAAGGCAAAAATATAAGCCATCTTTCAAAATAAGTCTCCTAATTAAGTTGAATACTGTGGAAACTCATTTGTATTTGTAAATTTTTTCTAGGGTTGCTATATGAAAGCAGAGCTGTGGTTTCAATCCAATTTCCTGTATATTGGAATTATCACTATCTGTGTGTGTGTGATTCAGGTAAGAGTTTAGTCACAGAACCATTATGAGGATTAAATTAATTAAGCCATGCAAGGTTTTAGGACATATTGGATATATAGATATACTCTATAAATATGAGCTCCTCATATTTGTAATATGTCGACATGCCACAAATTATATTATCAACTTAAGTCACTCAGAAAATTAAAATTAAGATATATCTAGTCAATTTGTCCCTACGATATACAAGTGTTTCATAGTCAGATGAAAGGCTACCTAGGAGTTTGTATAAAAAGAACACAACTCAGGCTTTCAGCCCTTAACTGCTGCTGGCTTTGGTCCATTCATTGCACTTCTCTGTGCTTTCGTATGTGACCTCAGCTGTTAAGTGGACACCATATCTGGCTTGTGTTAAGGATTATTAACATTTCTTTCCAATGCTTAGGATGATGCCTCAAAACAAATATTTAGTAAACAACAAATCTTTCTTTTAAAAACAAAAGGAAAGAAAGAAAAGCTACCAGGAGAGGTCAGAGCAATAGCATAGTGGCGCGAATGTTTGCATTGCTTGTGGCTGACCAGGGTTTGAATCTCAGAACACCACCAGGAGAGATCCATGAGCATGGAGCCAGGAGTAAGCCCTGAGCACCACCAGATGTGGTTCCAAAACAAAACCAAAATAGAAAAGCTACTAAAGGAACACTATCTTGTTTTTTTGTTATTATTGTTGTTGTTTTGGGTGGTCACACCCAGTGGTGCTTAGAGTCTTTACTCAGGGATCATTCCTGGTGGTACTCTGGAAACAATATTGTGTTCTAAGGATTGAACCGCAGTTAGCCAAATGTAAGACAAATGCCTTACTTGCTATGCAATCTCTCTGGTCCAAGGACAGCACTGTTTTAATCTCAAAAACACTTGTGACAGATAAAACCTTCCACTTGGAAAATTAGCTTTGTATGCTAAGAAAAACTGTATTATAAAAATTTAATCTATTTTGTCCATGTTCCCTTTTTTAGTTTGACAAGTCAGGGATTAAAGGCGTGGGTCTAGTTTCGTGATAGTTTGTGATAGCCTTTATACCATGTGATAGTTTGCCCATTTTATGTCCAAGTGCTTTGGGTCTGTCACAGATTAATTAGGGCTATCCCAAGAAACTCAGTGAGAAACAATATATTCTCTACTTAGAAATCAAGCCACTGAGGATATAGAATGATTCATTGTACAAAGTCTAACCTTGTACTGTGCCAGTATTAGAACATCTATATTTCTTATGAAGACTTAAGATGTCCCAACACTATACTCTAACATCTTGATGTTACTCATCTCTGCTTCCTACTGAAAAGCTAAAGGGGGCAAAATGTAGGAATTTAAAATAATTGCAGGAAGGCTGATATTAGTCTGAACATGTTCTTAGTCTCTGAGTTCAAGACTAGGGGCTATGGGAGAGATGGTTTCTCCTCTGAAAATCTTATATTTCTCCATACTTTACCCCCTCAGGTGTTAGGAATGTCTTTTGCACTGACCCTAAACTGCCAGATTGATAAAACCAGTCAGGCTTTAGGACTATGATCTACTACTATGCTGTGCTGGAGAGACTGACTTCATCTCTCTGAAAATCTAAAATCATCAGCCACATTCCTCAAGGTACAGATGCTACTACATGGGCATTTTCGAACATGAAAAAACCAAGAAAACCTGTATAAAAAGGGCTCAAGATCAAAGGTTGTGCTCGGAACTTGAAGTTTTGCATCTCCTATTGTCAAACAGGTCTCTAGTCTTTAAATTCCATCCAGTTTATTTTCAAAGTCAAGCAAGATAAGAGCGAAAGTGATCTCTGGGGATACATTCTTCTGTTTTCTTTTGACTGAAAACCCTTACAGTATGAATGAGGTTTTGTCTGCAGTGTGTGGTTTAAATTTTTTTTTAAAGGGCCTTAATGATTAATTCTACTCCATTTTCCATGCTGTGCTAGAGAGACTTGCTTCATCTCTAAAAATCTTCATCTACAACATGAAGTCCAAAATGATCACTTCCTTCATTGGAGTCTTTTTATTTCCCCCTCTCTATTCCCACTTTGGTCATTATCTCATACAACCAGCAAAGAGGGTCATTTCTCATCTCAAGCTTCAAGATAATTATCAGCCACATTCCTCAAGGAACAGACGCTACTACATGGGCATTTTCGAACATGAAAAACCAAGAAAACCTGTATTGAAAAGGTGTGCTTGGAACTTGAAGTTTTGCATCTCCTATTGTCAAAGAGGTTTCTAGACTTTAAATTCCATCCAGTTTATTTTCAAAGTCAAGCAAGAGAAGAGCAAAAGTGATCTCTGGGGACACATTCTTCTGTTTTCTTTTGACTGAAAACCCTTTCGGTATGAATGAGGTTTTCTCTGCAAAGAATAATGTGTGATTTAAATTTGTTTTTAAAGGGCCTTAATGATTAATTTTACTCCATTTTCCAGAAGAAATTACCCAGCGATTTCTATCCTATCTTCAACCATATTCTTAGACTTTTATTTACATAACTATGGAAGAACTCAACAAGATATGTTATCTCGGGGCTGGAGCAATAACACAGCGGGTAGGGCATTTGCCTTGCATGCGGCCAACCCAGGTTCAATTCCCAGCATCCCATATGGTCTCCTGAGCACTGCCAGGGGTGATTCCTGAGTGCAGAGCCAGGAGTAACCCCTGTGCATCGCCAGGTGTGACCCAAAGAGAAAAAAAAAAGACATGTTATCTCTGGTTGTTTTGGTATTAAACACATTCAAAAGATGTGATTACTGCAGTGTTACTGTCAGATAAGGTTTTGTTAATGTAAGATTCTAATTCTTCAATAAATAAAATGGATTTTTATCTTAAAATCTACAGTCTCATTCCTATAACCCAAATATACTTTCCATACCTTATCCTTAATTGCCCTGCCAGAATGCCAAACGTGTTTGTTAACTATTGCTACACAAGAAATCAATTCAAAACTTATTAGTTGAGAACACAAACATTATCTCACAGTATTTGTGAGTCATGTATCTGGGAGCAATTCAGCTGAGTGTTTCTGGTTCATGGTCTCTTACAAGACTACAGTCAAGACATCAGCCAGAACAAGCTCTCAACCAAAGCTTGATTGTAAAAGGATTCACTTTCCAAACTCTCTGATGTAGCAGTTGATAATAATACATGTCACCTGTTCCTGGCAATCTCACATCAAGTGTTGCAGGTAACTTGCATGAGGTGGGGAACAAGGGAGGCAGCCTCAAGAAAAGAGTACTTTCATCCTTCTGTTGACTCACCTTGGTCACCCAGAGAAATTTCTTGGTGGCTTAGGATTGGTAAAGTCTGCTCTGAGAGCCTACCTTGCATGGAATGCTAGTGTCCCACCAGCTCAACAAAAGCAGTTGTTAAATTGAACCTGAAGTCCACTTGACATACACAGAATGAAAACTGGTCTCCATCATCTAAATTTTCAGAATGATGAGGACTCAGGCTATTGTGAGAAATTTTGGGCTGGAGCGATAGCACAGCGGTAGGGCGTTTGCCTTGCACGCAGCCAACATGGCCGACCTGAGTTCGATTCCTTCGCCCCTCTCGGAGAGCCCGGCAAGCTACCGAGAGTATCTCGCCCGCATGGCAGAGCCTGGCAAGCTCCCCGTGATGTATTCGATATGCCAAACACAGTAACAACAAAAGTCTCTAATGGAGATGTTATTGGGCCCGCTCGAGCAAATCGACGATCAACGGGAGGACAGTGACAGTGACTCTTTGCCCATATCATGAGCCATGTTTCCATTATTGTCTTCCTTTGCAGAAAAGAATTTCAGGAGTGAAATAGTGAAGTAAAATAGTCCTAGAAACTTCTAAGTAAGAAATTTACTTAGATAAAAATAAGGGGCAAGAGGGACAGAGAGAAATGCATTCAAGAGAGAACCCAGGTTTTTCTAGAGAGGAAAAAAACCTTTTTGGCAGGTCAGTTTGCCCGCCAGTATTTGAACCCGTGGGCTTTCACCGTGCAAAGCCCAAGGCGTCCTCTAGGACCCTGGAACAAAAGCGGACCTGAGCCTTTTCCTCTTCTACCCCAACGCTCAGCCTCTACCCCTCCCAACCAGGTTCCTATGGGGGCGTGGCCTCTTCAGAAGTGGGCGTGGCTTCCTTAGAAGTGGGCGTGGCCTGATTTTAGGCGGCTGCCGCTCACGGGGCTACAGGTAGTTTAATCATACCAAGAAATCTAGTGTAACATCACAGTTCACATACCTACACACCAACATGCAGAGCCTTTTTGGGAAAAGGATTTTTTTAAAATTGCCTTGAGCCAGAGTTCTCTGCATACATAAAAGTTTTAATCTGAGTGTTGCCATATATTAACTTAAGGGTAACTCTGAGGGCTCCAGTAGTCCTTTCCAGTCCTTATCATGAACTTTAGATTCTCTCTGAGATTCTCCTTTCCACATTTTTGTGGAGCAATAAAGTTTTTTTTATTGAAACCTATTTTTTTAAAAAAGTGAGAGAAGAGAAGAGAGTACATTGCCCAAGAGAGAACACAGATTTCTCAAGAGTGGAAATAGTGGGCAGGAGCGATAGCACAGCCGGTAGGGCATTTTGCCTTACATGCGGGCTACTGGGGTTCGATTCCCAGCATCCCACATGGTCCCCTAAGCACCACCAGGAGCAATTCCTGAGTGCAGAGCCAGGAGTAATCCCTGTTCATTTCTGGGTGTGACCCAAAAAGGGAAACAAACAAAAAAAGAGTGGAAATAGGCAAGCAAAGAAACAGAGACAAGCAAACAAGATTTACTTAGATAAAAATAAGGGGCAGAGGGACAGAGAGAAATGCATTCAAGGAAGAACACAGGTTTAAAGACCAAGCATCTCTTTTTCAGTATTTGCATCTTTTTTTTTTCTTTCTTTCTTTCTTTCTTTTTTTTTTTTTTTTTTTTTTTTTTTGCTTTATGGGTCACACCCAGCGGTGCTCAGGCTTTGAGCACCTGGCTTTGCACTCAGGAATTACTCCTGGCTGTGCTCAGGGGACAATATGGGATGCTGGGATTCGAACCCAGGTTGGCCAAGTGCAAGGCAAATGCCCTACCCGCTGTGCTATCAATCCAGCCCCAGTATTTGCATCTTAAAGGGCTGATTTTCATGCCTTTGAAATACTTCAGGGTTGGAGATTAGGCATTTTCCTCTGAATATTACTTCCCCAAAAACTCATTACCAGGGCCTCCCTTATCTATTTGCTTGCAACAGTAAGACTCAGAAAACCATCTTTCAAAGTTTCTCATAGGGCTCTTAGTCAGGACTCAAGTATTTGTCATGTGTCTTTCCACAAGTTTGCTTTAATGACAGTGTAGCTTCCATTCTTCCACAGCAAAACATCCATGAAAGAATTTAGCACTTCAAACAACCCATAGTTCTTCCAGAATATAATTCAGAAGTGCCAGGTCATTAGTTGATTCCTTAGAAATAAGTAAAAAGGCGTGGCCCATACTCAAAAGAAAGATCACACAAAGATGTTACTATGGGAAGGATCTCACTGGGGAACCTAAGAGAAAGATCAGAAAAGAATCCTATGTGTTTGAATACTTGCTATATTATAAAATTGGTAATACAGTATTGCCAATCAAGTAAAGATGTGCTTTTTATGTATATGTACAAAATGGTATACAATTTTGTTTTCTAAGAAGATGGCCAAACTTTCAGCACCACACCCTACACCAGTGTCCATTTCTCTTTTAAGGCCCTTAATCAATGCACTTACGGTACCTTTATTTCACCACATAGTCCATCCCACTGTTCCCTTTGACTTTCTCAGTAATGTAACTCAGGGTCAAGAAGTTGCCATCATTTGATATCTTCCATTTTCTTGTTTTACTGCTTTAGGTATCACTGAGTGAAATCATCTCATATTTGTTCTCCCTCTTCGCTCAACCCGACAACCTTTAGTTCCATCTCTGCTGCAGTAAACTGTATGGCTTAAGCTTTCGTGTGTGTTTTAGGTCACACCAGGCAGTGCTCAGGGGTTACTCCTGGATCTGCCCTCAGGAATTAATCCTGGAGGACTTTGGGGACTGTAAGGGATGCAGGAGATCGAATCCTGGTTTTGCAAGGCAAACAGCCTATCATTACAGCCCATGTATTTCATCTTTTGTTATAGCTGCAGAGCATTCTACCATATTATATATATGTATATATATACACACACACATACATACCACAATTTTGCGATAGTACAGCAGTAGGGTGTTTGCCTTGCATGCGACCAAGTTGGCCAACCTGAGTTTGATTCCTCCTCCCCTGTTGGAGAGCCCGGCAAGCTACCGAGATTATCTTGCCCACACGGCAAAACCTGGCAAGCTACCTGTGATGTATTCGATATGCCAAACACAGTAATAAGTCTCACAACAGAGACTTTACTGGGCCCACTAGAGCAAATCGATGAACAATGGGAGGACAGTGCTACAGTGCTTTTTGGGTCACACCCGGCGATACACAGGGGTCACTCCTGGCTCATGCACTCAGGAATAAATCCTGGCAATGCTTGGGGGACCATATAGGAATGAGAATGGAACCAGGGTCATGTGTACAAGGTAAACGCCCTACCTGCTGTGCTATCGCTCCAGCCCCTACTTCTTTATTCTTATGTCATTGAATACCTGAGATGCTTCACGTCCTTACTTTTGTACTCAGTGTGCACATATATTTTTGAATTAATGTTCTTGTGTTTGGGGATAGAAACCAAGAAGTGGAAGTGTTGGGTGGTACAGAAGCTCTATTTTTACTTTTTGGAAAAAAGTTTATGCTGTTTAAAAGCAGATTCTTGCCCAGAGCCTCCAGAAAAGAACCTAACCTGGTGTACAATTTTGTTTTCTAAGAACCTAGCCAAGCCCACTTGGGATTTCTGTCTAGAATTTCATGATACAATGGATTTTGTTTCATACTGTCCATGTATTATGTATTATGCAGCAATAGAAATTAAGACAAAACGTTTAGACATAACTATGTGGTAAAGGAAACTGCTACATGTTCCTTTTTGCCTAGAAGCACAGTAGCACTTTTCTCCCATTGTTCATCGATTTGCTCGAGCAGGCACCAGTAATAACTCCATTGTGAGTCTTGTTACTGTTTTTGGCATATTGAATACGCCACAGGGAGCTTGCCAGGCCCTGCCATGTGAGTGGGATACTCTCGATAGCTTGCCAGGCTCTTCGAGAAGGATGAAGGAATCAAACCCGGGTCGGCTGCGTGCAAGGCAAACGCCCTACCTGCTGTGCTATCGCTCCAGTCCATTTTGCCTCATAGTGTCACAAAAAGACTGAGACATTAAAAAGTATCCTGAACTGAGAAACAATAGGATCCTGTGATTTAGACCAACATTTCTCAAAGAGGGGACATATGGGGACATGAATTTGACTTGAGTATTAAAAGTGATGAAAACTTACTGAAAATAAAAAGTCAAAATAGTTAACTTTAAAAGCAGGCTTCAGAGTATTACAAAAGGATCACATTTTTTTTTCTTTGCTTTTGAGGTCACACCCAGCGATGTTCAGGGATCGCTGGCTCTGCACTCAGGAATCACTCCTGGCGTTCCTTGGGAGATCATCTAGGATGCCGGGGATTGAACCCGGGTTGGCCGCATGCAAGGCAAATGCCTTACCCACTGTACTATCGCTCCAACCCCAGGATCACATTTTTTTAAAGCACAAATATGACACACATAAAAAGATCAGAAAAGAAACACATTACAAAGCTAATAAGGATAAGCTGAATGATGGCAGTGTGAAATTTTATTGTCCACTGTCCACTGTCCTCCCGTTGTTCATCAATTTGCTCAAGCGGGCCCAGTAACGTCTCCATTTTGAGACTTGTTACTGTGTTTGGCATATTGAATACATCACGGGTAGCTTGCCAGGCTTTGCTGCGCGGGCGAGATACTCTCAGTAGCTTGCCGGGCTCTCCAAGAGGGGCAGAGGAATCAAACTCGGATCAGCCATGTTGGCTGCGTGCAAGGCAAATGCCCTACCGCTGTTTCCTAAGAATCACACACTGCTGTTTAAACTTTTCAAAGGAATTAGCAAGTTTTGATATTATGTTCTCACTAATAAAAAGGTAAATTAAGAAGGCTGACACTGATCACTGGATCCAGCAACATCAGCAACATGAAAATCACTGAAGTCCTTGAAAAATTAATTTTGTTGGAATAAGGGGAGTAAACACTGGCTAGACAGTCTGATTTCCTCAAAATGTTAAACAGAAAGTCAGGATATGACCCAACAATTACGACCTAGGTATGTATATATATATATATATATGTATATATATATATATATATATATAGAGAGAGAGAGAGAGAGAGAGTACTGAAAACATAAGCACAAAAGTTCGTACATGAAAATTCACAGAAACATTAGTAACATAACATCTTAAATTCCAAAATATAAACAATCGAAATGTCCATCAATGGATGAATTGGGGGCTGAAAAGATAGTATGTTGGATAGGGCACTTGTCTTACACAGTCAGTCTGGGCTCGATCCCCTACCCCAACCCATTCCAAATTGCTCCCACAGCTCAGGGATCACTCTGAGTAGCTCCAGGGATCAGAGAACCAAAGGTAAACTCTGAGCACTGCTGAGTGTGGTCCAACAACCAGAACAATAAAAATAAACAGATGAACGAACATATCCATATAAAAGAAAATATTAACAATTGAAAAATAATTAAGGGGGCTGGGGAGATAATGATCAAAGGGCCCAAAGGTATGCTTTACATACAGGAGGTCAGGGTTCCAGTTCACAAACCACTTGGTTCCCCAGTCACCACCAGAAGTAACTCCCATGAGCACAGAGCCAATGGTAGCCCTGATCACCATTGGGTCTGGTCCCAAAACTAGTAATCTATTCTACAGCATGGCCGAAACTTGAAAACATCAAATTATTAAAGAAACCAGTAACGAAAGAAATCATGCTATATGGACGTTGCTCAAAAAACTAGAAATTGAGCTCCCATTTGACCCAGCAATACCACATCCGGGAGTATACCCTGAGGGACCAAAAACACACAGCAGAAACACCATCTGCACTCCTATGTTCATTGCAGTACTATTCACCATAGCCAGAATCTGGAAACAACCTCAGTGCCCAAGAACAGATGAATGGATAAAGAAACTATGGCACATCTACACAATGGAATACTATGCAGCTGTCAGGAAAAAGAGGTCATGAAATCTGCCTATAAATGGATGGACATGGAGAGTATCATGCTGAGTTAGGAGAGGCACAGATATAAAATGATTGCACTCATTTGTGGTATATAATAGATATTAGAATGATATCCATGGCCAGAGTAAAGGGTTAGGAAGACTGGTAAATGGTTGGATCCAATCACAAGTGTGTGGGGGGGCTGAGGGTAGGTAGGATAGAGAAGAGAATGCTATGACAATCATAGCTGGGAATGATCACACTGGACAAGATCTGAGGGTTAAAGGTAGGTAAGGGAAATTCTTGATAATCTTTCAGTATCAATATTGTAAACTATAATGCCCAAAAGGGGGGGGGGGAAGAGAGAGAGAGAGAGAGAGAGAGAGAGAGAGAGAGAGAGAGAGAGAGAGAGAGAGAGAGAGAAACAAATGCCATAGAGGCAGGCAGGGGAGGGATTGGGGTGGGGGCCTGATGGGAGGGAACCTGAGGACACTGGTGCTGGGAAATGTACACTGGTGGAGGGATGGGTGTTGGAATGCTGTATGACATGAAAGGCTTTGTAATGGTCTATTCCATAGTGATTTGTTAAAAAAAATTCATGCTGCATGATTCTTCCATGCAAATGAACATCCAAAGAGACATTAAGACACAAAAAAATATAGTAAGTGATTGCCTCGGGCTGGGAGGGTATAGAGATTGCTTACTATGGACAAGAATATTTGGAGGAAGGGGCATCATGAATATGTTCTAGAATTAGATCACATTCATAATTGCATAACCCTGGAATCTAAAAACACTGAACTGTACACTTTTAAAACTAGGGGCTCACCATTTCCAGTGATATTCACTTAGTGGTGCTTGAAAGGTCACCAGGGCCAAATCAAGGGTTTTCTGCAGGCCATATGGCACCAGGGATTGTATTAAGGGCCATCCACACACCTAGCATGACTCTTAAGCTTTTTTTTTTTTTTTTTTTTTTTTAGGGGGGGTGATCTGGGCTGCACACAGCTACACTCAGGGCTTACTCCGGGCTCTATGGTCTGGGATCACTCCTGGAGATTGCCAGTGGACTCTATTCAGTGACCAGGATCAATGCTGAGTCAGCTGTTTCCAGGGCAAGCACCTTAATCCCTGTACTATCTTTTTTTGTTTTGAATTCTGGATCACACCTGTAAATATTCATGGGTTATTCCTGGGTCTTGCATGCAGGAACCACTCCTGGCAGTACTCAGGGGACCATATGGATGCCAGAAATCGAACCCAAGTCAGCTACATGCAAGGCAAGCATATAACCTGTTGGGCCATAACTAGGACCTTCTCCTGTATGATCTTAAAGAATAAATTTTATGATATTTACATGTAAATTGTTACCAATATAGCTTTGCAAAAAGGGGAAGAAGGCGATGAGAACTGGCATTTGTTCTACCCCCTTTCACTACTTCTGATTTACTGTTCTATCTTGTAGCTAATGTATGAGGTTTTTTAAACTTTCCAGGATTTGTTGATAATTTTTTTAAATAGCTTTTAGGAAAATTTCTCCTTCCCCTTATTCCTATCTTCATATCAATCCTGAATTCTCTAAATCAAAGATAACCACATGTATATTTTTTAAGGTCACTATTAAGAAAACCTACATTTTACAATTTGTAAGTTTTAAATGTGCCTATTTTTCAGATTCATTTTTTATACAATCCAAGTGATACGTATACTTTTTTAAAAAACCATTTTCCTATGCATAACATGTTTAAGAAATTAAAAAAATCACATGACCTGAATTCGAAAACCTGTTTTAGATAATATAAAACTGTTTTGTAAAAGTTAAAAAACTGTCCCTCATTCTTAAGAAATGTTTGAATATTTAAATTCTATAGCTAGAACACATTTTCTTTCATGAAATTAAAAAAAAATGACAACAATGTTGGTAAGAATGTATCATTTTATGGATAAAAGCACTAAACAAAGACATGTACAAGTTCACAACGGAGCTAAATTAGAGTTCATTTCCTCTTGTGGATTGTTAATTTAGACTGTACATAATAATTATCTGTTTCTGGAATAACACCTGAGCTATTCAGCGAATGATACAAATAATAGGAAAAACTTTACACAAATATTGAAACTTTGCGAATGTCTAGTAAAATAATAGAAAAATAGAAAAATTTTCCTTTTTCCAAAAAAAGGATATCCAGACAAAGATTCTGATAGCCCTGGCAGATTATTCACAAATCTTATGTGAATCAACCTCTGTATTCTTTAAACAAAGTTTTATAGTCAACTGATGAAAACACAAGTTTCATATTCAAACACACATTCAGACTACATCTACAATTAATACCAAAAAAGGGAAAAACACAACTATTTCACCAACAGCTTTATATGCAGTTAAATTTTATTATTTTTGGTGCATCTTCTTACGTATTTCTTCAAGAGCTGCTTCTTTTTCCATCAATGCCTGCTTAAGTCTTCGTATTTTCTCATCTCTAACAGTTTCTTCTAATTGTGGAGGAGTCATGGGGAAAATATCTTCAGTATAACTTATATTAAAGGAATGACTTTCTTCAAAGGCTGCATTTGAATTCAATGTAACTGTCTCTTTGTTTTCATTAGTACATTGTTCTAATTCAGTTTTCTCTTCATCTCTGGAAGTTTTGTTGCTGCTTGTGAGAATGCTATCCTGTGGTACATCTGAAGCTGGTAAAACACTGCTGATAAGTTGGGAATTAGTGACATCAGTTCCTCCATTTACTGGTGTGTTAAGAGTACTCTGACTCTTTCTCTTCTTGGTGTTACCCGTCGTCCTCTTAAAGGCTTTAGCTTTTCTTTTCTTATCAAAACCCTGCTGCAATGTTAAGTAAGATTCCAAAGGAAAAACAAAATATTACTACCACAAATTATTACTATAAAATGTAAACTTAACAAAGTTTGCAGATATAAATATTTAGCAACTCAACAAATTTACTGAGAACATCTATGGCAAGGGACTGTTTTAATTCTAGCTCTGTGCTCAGAGATCACTTCTGGTGAGGCTTGGGGGTCCATGTGGTACCAGGGATTAAACCTGTATTAGCCACATGCAAGACAAGTGTCCTGCCCACTGTATTACCTTTCTGGCCCCTAAATATGTAGATTTTAAAAGATGTTTGTATTAATAATAGGGATTAACACCTGCATGCTTAGATTTTTCCCTAAATTGGAATATTTACCTAAATTCTTCAAAGAAGGTTTAGCAGGCTTAAAGGCTATGTCTATTTTCTTGTAATTATGATTAAAAAAAAAAAAGACAGTAGGTAAATAAAAACACTTGAAGTACTATCTTTAACTGTGGTTGCATTTTTACTTTTGCATGTACAATTAAACAATTTTTGGTATAAAATATATGCAAATTTGGCAGCTACTGTCACTCATATAAATTAGACTTTAAAAAAATCTAGAAAATGAATATATCTTCTAAGTTTTGGAGCACCTACAGAGGACATTTTAAAATCTATTACCTGTTTTCTCTCGTCTTCCTTTACTTTTGTAAACTCTTTCTCTTTGTGAGTATCGCTCTTTACCAAATTTCTAAAAGTATCAGAACTTTCTTCAGAACCCAAAATGTCAGGAATCCGTTTAAGGCACACTCTCACATCTTTAGTAAGACCAAATATTTTTTTTAACTCAGCATCACTCTTCAGACATGATGCCTTACTGATTCTCCCTTCAGATTTTTTGTCATTTCTTTCTTGAGGAACTTTTTTAAATGTTGATGCCATTTCATTCTGGATCTGGAATTAGGAAAAGAAAACACACAAACTGACAATTACTTAAGCTATTTTATCAAACTAGACAGTCATAATGGTTGGTTTGCTTTACCACTGTCTTACCACCACTGAACAAAATTTAACTGAATACACATTTAAAATGCTCCCCTCATTCACAGTCTCACAATTTTCTGGTAGTAGAAGTTAACAATTCAATTTTCCCCAAAACAGCAAAACTTAATCCCAAATTGAGAATAATCTATGACACTACTGAAAACTAGTCTTCTGAAAAAGTCTTATTATTATTATTATTTTTTCTTTTTGGATCACACCCGGAGATGCTCAGGGGTTACTCCTGGCTCATGCACTCAGGAATTACTCCTGGCGGTGCTCGGGGGACCATATGGGATGCTGGGAATTGAACCTGGGTTGGCCATGTTGGCTGCGTGCAAGGCAAATGCCCTACCCGCTGTGCTATCGCTCCAGCCCCCAAAAGTCTATTATTTTTTTAATCAACCTTTTATCAGTCTTATAGTTAATTAGAATTCACCTCCTTGCATCTCTTGAATTCAATGAATTCTTAAGAAGACTGACTAAGTTGACTTACAAGTAAGGAAGGAAAAGGTAGGTTCAAATATTTAGTGAGCAGACAACATAGAACAGAAAGGTAAATATGTGGGTATGTTAGGTAATTGGATGAGTTGTCAGGGAGAATAAAAAAGAAAAAGGGAAACCTGTCTACAAAAAAAATAACACTTTCAAAGATGCTGATAAATCTTATTTCATAACTAAAAGACATTGATTAACCGTGTACCATCTGGCTAAAAAAAAAAATTACTAGGTCTCTGCTAACACAAAACAAACCAATCTCTATCAAACTCTATTATACATAGCGATCTTTTTATATATTAAAAGCTATTACATACACAGGCTGTATAAATGTATGTATACAGACACACATACACACACACACACAATTTCACTAATAAATTCACACCATCCTTTCAACTCTTCTGAACCATAGTGTTCTGTGATATGTCTGATATTGTTTAAGGATTTGGCATGCCAAATGATTCAAGAAAAAGGTGTTGCTTGGACTCTCAATTACACTCCTCAAACATTTTCTTTTGATAAAAGTTTTTACTTAAACTATTCATTTGTGTATGGTATGTGTGTGATGGAGTGGATGATGGGAGAAAGGGAGAAAAAGAGTGTTATAGATAACTAACTTAAGAATTAAAAAAAAAAGAAATTTCTATGTAGATAAAAAGAACACCCTAACATGGGAAATTTACCTTTGGTTCTTGGTCTCTGAAAACACACTGTTGTGAAGTAACAGATGTTGCATCAATAGAGGAACTTATTTTCTCTATGCTCTGGATGATATTTCCTTTTCTGGGGGCATTTTGTCCTGTACTAAATCCATCTGGAAGGACTGGCTTTGTGAGTAAAGTCTTACTTTGTTTTAAGTAGTTAATAGATTGATTGCTATTATGTGGGTCTGGGGTAGAAAGAGATGGTTTTTCCACTTTTTTATTCTTCTCTGCCCTTAGATTGGCCATGGAAGCAAGTTGGGTATTTGAAAGTGATTTTGTCTCCATCAGGGAAGATTTACTTTTAGCCAACACAAAATTTACAACCTCTCTGGATATTTCTGTAACTGGACTTGAGCTCACTATCTGTGATGTATCTTTTCTTGGTGGAATATCAGGAGAAACAGAATTCTGCTGATCAGTTTGTGCTGGCAAAACATCGGTCCCCTTTTTAGCCAATAGATAAACTTTCCCATTAAACATAACCAAAGCATTATCTTTAATAGGCATACTTTTGGACTGTGTCCTGCTAGAACCAATGGTACTCAATGGTGGCATACTTATGGTACTATCTCCCAAACTTTTCCTATCTACAAAAGTTTTTAAAATCTTTGAAGCCACATTATTTGAAGATTTAACAGGAACAAGAGAAGGCTGTAGATTTTCTTGAAAAATCCATTTCACTGGAGCAGTTTGAGAATGCTGGCCACCTTTTAATTGTGTCTCTTTAGGAACATTCTTTGGAATCTGTGTGGTATTTAGTATTATTGGCTTTGCTATCTCTGTAACAGGTTTTGGGTAAATGCTTTGAAAGTTCTTGGTAACTACACTTTTCACTGTATTTACAGGAGATACATAAATAACAGTTGGTATTTGGGAGGCCTCAACTGTTCCTGAGGTACTTGTGGTTGCAGATGCAAGTATCTTTTGCTGAACTGAAGGAGGCAATGATGACGCTGGTACAGACTTCACTTCAGCATGGGCAGGAATCTGTAAATGATGCCCAGAAGGTAAAACTGGAGACTTCACGGTCATCGGAAGACTCTGGGTATTTACTATAAAATAAGATGAATCATTTTGTGTTGAGGAGGGAGAAACAGCAAATGTCTGCATGGTGAGTCCATCAATTTTCACACCATGACTCTGAACTTTAGAAACTGATGAGGAAAGATTTTCAGTTACCACAGAAGTAACTCTAACTTTTTCTGTTGTCTCTACTGTTCTTGTAAGAAAGTAGTTTGAAGAATTGGCTGGCTGAAAAATGGGCAATTGAACTGATGCAGCTGTGGAAGAACTGGAAATCTGAGTCTTAAAAGTAACTTGAACTGGACTTCCTGTATTCCCTTTCAAAGCATCAGACATGACTGAAGATTGAACTAGTGGTATAGGATTTCCAGAGGAATTAGGAATTGGAAGTAATTGCAGGAGATTTTTTCCATCCGAGCCAATCGTCTGAACTACTTGGTACATGCAGCCTGAAACACTTAAAAGAACATTATGAGTAAATAACCAAACATACTACATGGTATATACATTTTATTTAAAATAAAATATATCTTCAAATACTATATGAAAAAATTTTTATAAAATGTAATTTCTCACTTTGTTTTCAAAGTGAAATGATGCAAAAACCGAGATTTTGAGAAAGTAGAAAAGATAATCAAAAGATATAATCAGCTTTGATTTAGAGCTTCTTACATGATTAGGCAATAAGATGTTAACATTTATTTCTACAACTAAAAGTAGATTTTTCTAAAAATGTTAACCTTTCATAAAATTATGCCTACTAGGATACATACTCCATAAACTATTATTATCTTTTTTTAAATTTTGTTTTCCTGTTGTTTCCTTTGCTGTAACAGTCCCATTTTACTGTTTTGTTTCCCTCAGACCCTGCCTCCAACCCCATTCCTCCAGTCTGTTTTGTGTTCTTTCCAATGACAATGACTCACAAACTGTCTTATCAGTAGATTCCTTTTCTGTTTAAAACATCACTTAAGGCCGTTTGCCTTGCAGGCGGCAGACCCAGTTCAATCCCCAGCATTCCATATGGTCCCTCGAGCACCTCCAGGAGTAATTCCTGAGTGCAGGGCCAGGAGTAACCCCTGAGCATTGCCGGGTGTGACCCAAAGAGAAAAAAACAAAACCAAAACAACAACAACAAAAAAACTCGATTATGGAAAAACTTGAATGTATCACAATTCTAGAGACTAAACTAAGTTATTTCTTTATTCTTTATTATTTCAGTGCATGTAAAATTTGGTAACGAAAAATCTTGGACTGGAGATGACTCATGTAGTTCCAATTTCCTATTAATTCATATAAAGAAGCACTGCCATTTCAGTTTAAACATTTTCCAAAAAATGTGGAACACAGTGGAAGGCAATATATGTACTTTTTCACCCAGCCAATTTTGAGCCTGATGCTTATCAGCTAATTTTTAGTACAGATTGTCTAACTTTTAGAAACGTTAATAGATAACAATATGTCTGTGTAGTCAACTATTTGTAAATTTCTTGAATACAAACATCTCAAGTTACATATACCTAAAACCACCTCTTAGTTTCTGAAAACTGCCAAGCTCTCGGGGGACTCAGGTCATGATACATGTTATCTCTCTACCTCCATGTTATCTCTCTTCTCTCCTACTAACTTCACTCAATTTTCAACACAAACTGTACTTTTAAAGAGATATATTTTCTGGCTACTTTATTGACCTGAGTCTTCTTAATAATAATATCTGCAAATTTCCTGTATGGCATATATCTTGGTTGCTATCATATGTTAATCTGCTATTTTTTTTCTATCTAGAGCCTGTCTTGCACGCTAAATTCTAGACATGAGTGAGTGCAGTCTATCTCCTATAAAATTGAGACCAAAAAAAAAAAAGACAATGAAATGATTATAATTCTAAACAGCTATAAAGATGTGTTTACTAACTATATTTTTATAATGAGCTGAGCCTAAGGACATGAATTCTGCACTTACGTTGTTTTAATTTAAGCATGAGACATGTGGGCTAAATATGTCTACCTTTCTGATCTTATGTGGCCTACAAACTAAGAATAGAATTTGTATTTTTATTTGTTTGTCTTTATTTGGGGGCCATACCCTTCAGTGTTCAGGGCTTACACCAGGTTCTGTACTCAAGGATCACTAACTGCAGGGGGCTGATCATACATGCTGTCAGGGACCAAACCCAGGTTGGCCACTTTCTCCACAGACCTAGGAACTGGTTTTGTTATCCTGAGAAAAAAAGAGTGTGGCATTTTGCTCTCTGTGTCTTATAGTTTGAGCCATACTTTTTTTGTGGTTGTTTTTGGGCCACAACTAGCAATGCTCAGGGACTACTCCTGGCTCTGCATTCAACAATCATTCCTAGTGGTGCTTGGGGTACCACCTGGGATGCCAGGGATTAAACCCTGGTAGGCCTTGTGCAAGGCAGTATCCACTGTACTATCTCTCCAGCCCATTTGGATCAAAGTTTTCTCTATTAAAATTCTAGCCCAATTCTTTCCAACCTCCAAACTGTTCCACATCTTCATTTGGGTGAATTAAAAAATTCTTGCTCTTTTTCTTATTTTCTTCACAGGATTTCCTAGATACAATATTTTCCTGTCTTTTTAATGACTTATTCATATCCTTTCCCAACTTATCCTACCCAGGAACTGGAGAGATAGCAATGCGCTGCACTGTCTTCCCGTTGTTCATTGATTTGCTCGAGCGGGCCCATAATGTCTCCATTGTGAGACTTGTTACTGTGTTTGGCATATTGAATATGTCACCGGGAGCTTGCCAGGCTTTGCTGTGTGGGCGAGACACTCTCGGTAGCTTGCCAGGCTCTCCAAGAGGGGCGGAAGAACTGAACCCGCCTCGGCCAGACCGCTGCGCACAAGGCAAGGGCTCTTTAATAGTCAACAGTTGGAATTCAGAGTTTAATGAGAGGTTCCCTCTTCCTATTACATACTGTCCTGAGATATTATATATATTTTGTATATATATACTCACATACACATGGCCGACCCGAGTTCGATTCCTCCGCCCCTCTCGGAGAGCCCGGCAAGCTACTGAGAGTATTCGATATGCCAGACACAGTAACAACAAAGTCTCCAATGGAGATATTACTGGGCCCGCTCGAGCAAATCGACGATCAACGGGAGGGCCTTTACCTTTACACCTTTACCTTTACCACATACACATATGTGTGTATTCAATTAAATCACCATTCCTGTATCAATAATTCAAACATTTATATTTTAGCTCTATGAGACTGTCACACACACACACACACACACACACACACACACACACACACACACACACTTTCCCTTTTGACCTCTGATCCTCTTAACCCTCATGATCCATTCAGAATCTCAAATGCACCTAAAACTCAATGTGGCTAGTTTTAGGTGCGCCCACACCGCTCCCCACCCCCCCGTTATTTCTTTAGTATTTTTTTCCCTTTGATAAAAATCACACCATCAACCCTAGATGTCTAAATCAGAACAATTTTGCTTTTCATCCTCCCTACTCAATCTCTTACAAAAACCTAACTGATATTAACTCTACAATTCCCTCAATCTATTCAATGCGTTCCAAATCAAACTGTCTTACTCTAGACCAAGCAAATGTCTCCAGCTTAATTTTGTTTTGTTTATTGTATTTGGGGGTCACACCCAGTTGTGCTCTGGGATTACTGGTTCTGTGCTCAGGGATGACTCCTCTAGGTGCTCTGGATACCATATGCAGAGTCAACGATCTAAGCTGGGTCAGCAGCATGTAAAAGTCAAGCAAGCTACCCATTGTACTATTTTGTTTGGGGACCACATGCAGTGATATACAGGGGTTGCTCCTGGCTCTACACCAGGCAGGGATTGCCAGGGATTAGACCCAGATCAGCTGTGCACAAGGTAAATGCCCTACACACTTTATTATGGCTCACTGGTATTCTTTTCTTTAGTCTATCCTTCCCCCTTTATACATTCAGCAGACTAAAGCTGTAAAACACTTCAGAATATTTCCACAGTTCATTGAGCCATAGAAAGAAAACCAAGCCATTCTGATCTAATGAAAGTCAAAGGAAGAGAGCTTCTCAAGAAAACTGGGCAAATTAATGAAAAGGTTCTGAAACCAAGTGGGATGAGGATTTTAATGTGCAAAGGAATTAATGGTACAAGTGTCAACTGATAGCATAGTCATTTTTTCTCAGAAAAGTTTGATGGGAAAAGAGGCTCAAGAGTGAATATGAGAAAAAGATATTAATACAGACAAATCTTTTATGAAATTTGACAACAAATGGGAGAAAAACAGGCACATAACTGGAGGCCAAATGAAGTCAATAAAAAAATTGTTTAAGGATAGGTAAAAGGTAAAGGCCCTCCCGTTGATCGTCGATTTGCTCGAGCGGGCCCAGTAACGTCTCCATTGGAGACTTTTGTTGTTACTGTGTCTGGCATATCGAATACTCTCGGTAGCTTGCCGGGCTCTCCGAGAGGGGCGGAGGAATCGAACTCGGATCGGCCATGTTGGCCGCGTGTAAGGCGAACGCCCTACCCGCTGTGCTATCGCTCCAGCCCAAGAATGTATGATATGCTCATGGAAGACTCATTTCCCACGTGTTCTTGCTGGTACATACTGCTATTCAATTATTTCTTTATTTTAATCACTGACCTATCAAGATTTCCATTACATGCTCTTTTTTTTTCTTCTTTCAATTCTTCCATTCTAAACAGTCTATTTTTTAATTAAGCGAAAGGCAACATATATTTATTTTGGTTTGGGGCCCACACCTGACTCTGCACTCAGGAATCATTCCTGGCTGTGCTCTGGGACTATATGGAATGCTGGAGATAGAACTGGGGTCAACTGCATGCAAGGCAAGAGCCTTACCTGCTGTACTATCTCTTCAGCCCTCCATTCTATACATCAATGAAAGCATTCTCAAAGTACGTTCTTGACCTTATTTATCTTTCAAGAAAAAAAGACTGTACCATTTTTTATGGTTTCCTATTTCCTTCAAGTATCTTCTATAAAAGGAAATACACATAATGTACATGTCTTATAATGACTCTCAAGAGTGAGATACCTTTAATTCCTATCCCCTAGTATCTGCTTCATCTCCATATTTGTGATGGCTTGCCAAACACTTTCATTTACAGAGAATTGAAAGTGAAAATGAATGTCCACTGAGGCCAAAGAGACCACTCAATGGGCTGGAGAACATGCTTTGCATGCAGGAAGCTGAAGTTCAAACTCCCCACATCATATGGTCCCCCGAGTTGAATCAGGATTAACTTCGGAGTACTGCTATGGATACAGCTCAATAAATAAATAAATAAAATTACTTTCCACTTAAATCTAGTACTCTATTCTATTTATTCATATGGTAACACTATCCAAGACACCCAGATTTAAATCAGTTTTATTATTCTGCTTACTCATCTTTGATTCACCCACAGTACCATTTATAATTACAAACAAATA